AAAAATATTTCCGGTAACCAACGACTATACCATATCTCAGTTTCATTTTAATATTTTTGTCTAATTGACGATGGGTGGTGAGCTCCATCAACGTCACACCACTTCATCGACTACAACTACTGAAGCCGTATCGTCAGTTCCGTCGTTGACAACAAAGGCAACAACTGAAAGAACTGCTTTGAAACGTCAACGCTTTGAACCAAAAGGTCTTCGGAAACTTTGGTATTTAGCACTCTATCTGTTTTGGTTTATTGTTGGATTAGCTGTATTACGAAAAACGCAAAATGCTATCCATTCCGTATGGTACGTCAAAAGTAATGGTCATTTGGTTTCTGAGGAAGCAATCGCAAATTCAGCCCAATTTAAGGATCTGCTCAGTAAATTTGATACTCAATTTACCAAACCACCAGCAATTTTTTTGCTCAATCAATATGCACTAAATATGACATTCAATTTCTTATGCAATACACGGGAATTAGAAGGAGTTCACAACAGACTGTTGTTTGTTACGTTGGATTCTGTGGCACGTGATGTTCTTCACGAATATTGGCCAAAAATTCAGCAAATTTATTGGCCGACACCATGTTTATACGTAAGTATTTTGTTATCAAATCAAATACAGCTGTTCAATTTGCTGAACATTTTTACATCATCTAAACTGTTGTTGGAGTGGAAAATTACATAGTTCTAGAAATTGTAGCCTTAACTTACTTTTTAACGGTTTATAGCCTGTCAATTTATTGCAATTTACACTGAATTGCACACAGAGTGTGGATCTCGTTTATTTTTCTTTGTTCACTGGTAAGGTTTGGTAATGAGTACAATTACTGAAATAGACTGCTATACACCAGAAACTCAAAAAAGAAAAAACCATTATCACTTTTTAACGATTTAAACTGTCTCCCGTTTTCTGATTGTCAGTCACTGACTTAAACATTCATTACTTTGTAGCAACCGTTCAGTTTCGCTGAAGGAGCCTATCAAACATTATACCTTTTAAGAGCAAACTTGGCGGTAAATTTGCTAAAGAATGGGAAATCATTTTGGATGATGCAACAGGATACGTTTTGGAGAAAAAATTTGTTTGATTTAAACTTGGAGGATAACTATGAATACGATGCGATGTTTGACCAAATTGGTTATGATGCAGACTCCAAACGAGCCGAATGGGTCAACGGTTTGTTTTTATTAGTTAATGAACATCCTCTTGGTCAAAAACCGCAACTTCTCATCAACTCTGTTCCATAATACTCCATTTTCTTCTATTACACTGATTTCAGCAGAAATTTATAGAATTACTACTTGTTCGCTGAATATTTTTTCTTACTTTATTGGTAATCTTTTTATCAATTTTCTTCACAAATAGTAAATTAATTATTAGCATTTTTTCCCCTTTCTTTCTTAAGGGCTAATGCAGCTTATGACTATGAGACAATTTAAATCTGCAAATATTAATTTCATGATAACAAGAGTAAAAAATGACAATACACCAGACAGACTTTACGCAAAAAAGTTTTCTTACATGAATTATTTAATAAGCAAACAAAAAAGTTATTTTACACGGTCTTGGTGTCCAATTTGTGAAATTTTTTCATTTATCTTGATCAGCAACTCTCTTTCTCCCCCAATATCTACCATTTAAAGAACGGTTCTTAATCTTGACACTCATAAACAACAATAACTTTACTTGATCACGTGTTCACCCATGCTTAGAGAATTAACAGTCCAAATACTCTTCAAGAGCATTTTTTTAGGTGCTAATTTCTTTGTCAGAGCCAACAACGATACTCTGAAATTTTTTGAAGCTATTGCACTGAAGATTGGTCACTGGTATACTCCAGATATGGCAGTTATGATACATCAGTGTCATACGTGGAAGAAACCAAAGTGTGCTTATATGCCACACAAGTTTGTATCATATTTTTTATTTAATATTAAACTTTTAACATCAGTGTTGTGCACTGTTTGCCCTAACCATCCCATTAAACCATTATCTATTTTTTAAACCTGCTCTATTTCCTATGAGCCGACATTGACGTTGCCTTGATTTAGAATTGCTAATTCTTGGGAATGGCTCCACACTGACCAGAAAAATCCGCCATACATAATGCAACTGGATTGTGAGACAGACGGCAGTTCAAAACTAATGCAGTTGGCTAAATATGGATTTTACTTTATGAACAAAGATGATCATCGTGTTTGTAACCAAACTGCTGTCGATTTGGTGAGGAAACGGATGGAAGACGGAGATATTCGACCGTCGAAACCAGGTCTTCTGGGCCTCAGTTGGGGTCGTCTTCAATTTCGGGCTTACTGGTGGATTGTCGATAACATGTTATCAACACCAATCATTGGGAATTTAATTAAACCCTACTTACCTTTGGTTGGCTTTATATTGATGATAACGATCTGATAATGATCAAACAGTTTTTTCTCTAAACGGGGTGCAAAAACTATGTACATGAAGTATAAAAATAATTTTAGTTGTATTTTTCAGCTTTTAGATCAGAGCCAGATGTTGGCATTTACAAGCAATTTTTCCTTTTATTTTTTTCCCTCTTATTTTATATTTGTATCATACATGTCCAGCTAAAATGCGGCAAACAGTTCTTAAGCAGATAATGACAAACTGAGACTCAATGAGGGAAAATTAAAATAATAAATGATGTATATTTGAAATAAATTTTTGCAGTTTCAATTTGAATTACCGCTTTTCCATCATTTATAGCAATTAGCGATTTCCTGATGGTGAAGATGAGTGGCAGTTAAAGAAAGAAGAGTAGAAGAGTAATAAAACAAGGAGAATGAGGTTTGCAAAAAACATCTAATTTTTGAATTCTAAACCCTATCGCCATACAATAAATAAAAAATTTTCTTAATTTTTTTCTCTTCTGGGCTCTTCACGATCACAGAAGGTTGCTGAAGTATGCAGAAGATCTGTAAAATAAGGCATCTCTCAGTGAATTAAAATCATCGACAATCATCTATCCAACCTGTAGGCAAGTTTCAAAACAGTTCTTTTGATGGAAACCAATGAGACAGAAAATCTTAACGAAATACTGCAAAGGACCAGTCGCAACTGCAGATAACCGTCAATAAATCATTCTTCGAAAAAAAAAAGTTAAATTAAACATTCAAGAAAATGTTTTTCTTTTTCTTCAAGCTTCTTCATACATAATCCTCCGTTTTTTTACATGGGAAATATTTCAAAAATTGCAGACTTCAACCTGTGCGTAATAGACAGATTAAGCAACAATATTTAACCAGTCTCGGGGCAACAGGTTCGTATACCCCTTTCTCCTTCTCCCAAAAAATCGTTTGAAATTCTTAAAACAAAACAGCAGTAAGACTACTGTGCAAAAAAAAACAACGAAACATGAAACAGAACCATTTTTCTCCAACTGATTTGTCATTTCAGAAATCAAATAGATTAACGTACTCGTCACTGTTTCGCTTAGCTGCGAGTAATGCCTTGTGTCAGTTTTTGTTACTTTCAGTACTCATCTTCACTTTTCAAATCTTTTTTTTACTCATTTACTGCTACAACTCCGAAGGGAATGGCTGTCGCCAAGTCGTCCCGATATCTCACCAGCAAAGCTAAACTACGCAAAGAGTTGAATCATAAGTTCGAACCCCACCTGAGACAAAATGGTACCATACGAGCACTCTGCGGAAATCAATGTCACAAGTCCTGGCTCCGTATGAGCCAAAACAATGGCAGATCATTGCGTTAGGTGAAAACGAAGTCCCAGCCTTATGCCACAACTTCG